TCTTATAGTTTACCACTATTTATTAATATTGTCCAAAATCCATAAGCCCATCTCCCAATTTTCTCTAGGGCTTTGTCTCCAGATGGAACATCTCAAAATATCTCCTTTACTTGGAGCCAGTATGTTGCTATGGATGCCACTGGATTATAGACCTTTCTCACAAGTCTTCTAATTTAGGGCTGCTTGTTTCGCATCACTGAAATTGAGCTTTAGGTCTTTCATATTGTCCAGTGTGTACATTCCAAGTGGCTATTCAGATGTCCTATTTTGATGTAATGTATATTTTATTCTGTGATCAAATCTTTGGCTACTTGAAAACTTCACCAGCATTCTGGCCATGGCTAGCTGCCAATGCTGAAACACCAGTTATCCCAAATGCAGTAGGATTTCTTTATTTGATTTGTCCGTTGACAATGAACACATGCCTGGTTTTGTGATCTCTTCACAGGGGATCAACTTTATCCAGACTTGGGACATCTCTTTTACTTATTTAGCAAGTCTTTGTAAAAATATAATATTGACCAGATGTGGGGTTTTTTTTTGGGGGGGGTATCTTCTATAAACTCTGCAGGAGGAATCTTTTCCTTGCATCCATACAGTCCTCTTTACTTTTATCTAAGGCATCTGTTTAATTTGTTCTCCCTGTTTAGAAATTCACTACAACACCTATAAAACATAAATATGCAATACATCGTGACAGCATAAATTGGCCTGCTGCTCTGAAAAAAAAAAATCCATCTGTAATCATAATGCATCCCAGTGCTGCCATGTTTTATAGTCTGCACATTTGTATGGAAATCAGCAACCAGAATAATTTTAATACTTGAAAGTCATAAATGAAGATTAATAATACTACTGGATACTACTAAACTAAACTCATCTCTTGGCTATTTCACGAAATAAGGAAATACGACTGTTAAACCAAGATTCTTTCAAACCCAGAAACTAACCTAATACCAGTAAGCCCATATTTCATTTTTTGTGTCAGGTAATTAAAGCTCCCTAGGAATCATCTGCAGTTGCGTATCAAAAAGCAACAGATATCCTTCCGATGTAGCAAATTAAGACAAGGGGTCCACAACACAAATCTATGCCAGAATGCATTTTCACAATTCAACATTTTGCAGGTCCACCTTGGCCACTGAAGTTTTTGTCTGGATTAGTTAGGTAGCATTCATTACTTCTGTACTGTAAGCAGAGCATTTTTTTTTTTTTTTGCAGAATAGCTATAAATATATTCATCAGCAAAAATACTGTGTTCTTAGTAGATTGTGCAGTTATCATCTGCTTTTCACTTCATTTAATTGCTATAATAAAAAAAGTATCTCATCTCGATATTGAATTCAAGAGGTGACTTAGGGCAACCCAAGATTCTTTGTGTATCAGCCATCATTACGGTATCTAGAAAAGAATAGGTAAGCCTCGGGTTTAGTCCTGAACATTATCAGTTAAAACAATCTCATGTAACTAGACTGGGAGATAGCTAATTATTTTAATTACATCAGATTATGGTGCATTCTGATTAGCAACTGCTCCTTATGTCAGAGGACTTTCACATCACCTGACCCACTCCTTTTAATTGGAGATAACACGGACTGAATTGTAGGCTTTCTGTATGCAAAGCATGTGCTCTAATTTTGAACTATGGTTCCTTTCAAAGCCCATCTCTTGGAGTGCTTATACACATTGGTTTACAAATCTGTTACAAACAGAAACAGTGTGATTAGTGGTGTGATTCACACATGTTGCTAAGCTATAAGCCATGTTTACAAATCACAGTGGCATTACATTAAGCCAAAACCATACTGATTACAGTATTTAGCCTCCCCATTGACAACCCCGACCCTGCTCGCCTTCCAGAAGGTGGTGAAGATCAGTATTCCCCCAGACAATGGGGGAAATGGGTCAAGCACAGAAGAGATTGCCTACAGAGATTGGGGTTTTCCCCCCCTTGCTTATTTAAGCAATCTCTCTGCTTTGCAAAGGGGTGGGGGGAGAAAAAAAAAACAAGCAATCTATATAGACAATCTCTCTTGTGCCTTACCTGTCCCCCCCACTCCCACTCGCAGAGCAGAGAGAATGGAAAGGAAGAGATTACAAGAGAGTAAGCGAGAACACAGGTGCTTGGGGCTCCCAGCCCCAAGCGCTGCCAGCGCCACCGCATTCCTTTCAATGTGTATTCCCCCTTGTGTGCCTGCTTACTCTCTTGTAATC